CTGATCGTGAGCCTCCCTTGAAAATTGTGACTATGACGGAGCGGCTCCAGTAGGTCGGGAAGGTTGCCTGCTCCCACAGTTTCATTAGTTACTCGCATAAATCATCCACAAGAACAGGTCCCCCGAATTTGAAGAGGGTTAGAGGTAGATCATCTGATCCCACGGCTTTATTTGACTTCAACAGTGCGATCTCATGTTCGACTTCTGAGCGAAGGTGGATCCGAGGGGACAGCCCAGGGAGCGGGGCTATCGGGGGCAGGCGAGAAATCTAACAATGCCGATCGATTAAATTGCTTTTCAAAGTGCTCGGTCCAACGCTCCAAGAGTTTTGACAAGTTGTGGATAGGCTGTCCACTCTCATCACGTATAGTTTCACTAAGACCAGGTCTTCTGCTGCGCGTTTCCCAAGCGCAGCGGCCATTTCCATCTCTGATGCACGAAGAGACCACCAAGATTCGCGGTCTCACTTCAAGCTAGCACGGAGTCTTGCCCGGAGATTTTGCGAGTTTCATTGTGTTCGCTACCAGCCGGAATATGTCGGCGAGCATCGATAAGTTCCAGGAACTGCGAAGAGACCCAATATCCATGTTGGCGATTAGACTGACCAAATGAGGATTTGCTTGCTACCAGTAAGATCTGGTGCAGATGTGAACAGTGACCTTCAATTGTCTCCAGTGAGTGCTTACTCAACTCGCTGACAGCGTACTTTGATAGGCATTCAGAACAGCTGGTTTCGCGAGTTGACTGGTGTCAATGCGCTCACTACGTCATCGTGGGTATCCGAGAAAACGCATCCGCATGTCAGCACAAACAAGTGCATGGTCGGTGTTCACACATATACTCCATATCGAGCGACCGTTCTGGACTCAGCCTCTCCATCGCTAACTTATCGCAATGTGATCGATTTGCGTTCAAGAGTGATTCGAGGCTGGTGGGCGCCAAGTCACTCTCCGACGGGTGCTGTATCGGAAATTAGTATTCGCAAGAAATAAGCGAGCATCTTGACACAAATGAAGTAACTGCTCACCGTTATCATTACGGGAGCCTACACCGTGCTGACCGCCCAGATGCAGTTCATCAGTGGATAATTTTCCAACTTGAGCATTCAGATCCCCCGCCAGCTCAACAGTGTCCGACCTTCATCTGTGGCGAAAGAGCTGGGTCAGTTGGCGGTAGAAGTCGTTCTTTAGCGAATCATCGCTACAGTTTGTCGGCGTGTAGGCAACGACGACGAACAGACACCTGATAGTCCCGCGCGACTTCGAAGCTTTGAACGAGCCACCCAATCGGACCGCACAAAACCGGCTACCGATTGGAATCCAGCCAATCAGAGCAGCTTCGGCCCGGAAACTCTGGGCAATGCCAACATCAGCTTGGCCGGTCCTCGAAGCTGCATCGTCACCGGAAAGGCGCAATGAGAAACTGTTGCTGGTGTCACCTGAAGGGGATCGAAGAGTAAGCCCAGAGTTCGAGTCTTGCAGGCAGGTCTCCGATAAGCAGCAGATATCGATCGAGAGGGTCTCGGAAGTTCGGGGAAGTGCTGGCTGTTGACCGATCTGTAGTAATGTGCGTACATTGAGGCATGCCAATCTGAAGGATGATCGAGGGCTCCAAATGGAAGCCGATGAACTGGGCTTGACAGCTTGGTTGGACATGGGCTTGTCGACAGGAGAGGAGTGACGCTCCGCGTTCACATGTGAGTTGAAACTAGAAGATAAAAGCCTAGCAAAGCATGTTGGGGGAGGGCCAAGAATCGGGGGGTTGAAAACTAGGGGGATAAAAGTGAAGCTGGAACGGGACCGTAAGAGAGTAAAAGCGTAAGAGGGGGAATAAGAAGGCGACAAGGCTTGAGCAGTAGCATCCAAACCTCTATCCACCATGCTCGATGCAGCATACAGAGTACCGTTGATTATCCTCTGCGGTGGCCAGATCATTAAGGGATTGTTAGGAAGAAAAGTCATGGTGTATTGCGTGGGCAGGATACTGCCAGGTTGCCAAGGCCTAGACAGGAGAACGATTAGGGTTCTCAACCAAAGCCTTTGGTTCAAAAACCGGACCGCAAGGCAGCGGGTTTGGTTTTGGGCCACAAGGAGTCCGTTTTAAGGAATAAGGAGCCATCCTCATTCCAACCCCCAATCTGGAGGCTAAGTTTGTCTGGCCCCCAAGCATTGACCAATCTGGTATGAGTGGCTCCAAAGGTGCAAAAAAAGCACCACCCAGCATAGCTCAGTGGATCACTGACGCACACAAACCATCGCACCACGGTCAGGTCCAGCCACTTTGCGATGGTAAAGTAAAGAAAGTAATCTGCACATCGATCCCCTGGATGGAAGGCAGCTTTGATGTGGAGAAACACGAGTACTGTTGCTGTCACATTTCCTTGTTAACTTCACCACAGTTAAGGTCATGAAAACGGCGTTCACTAGACACGTACAAAGCGTGGAGCTGCCTCCAGTTAAGCGACTCCTAACTTACAGTATATCGATGACACTGCCCTAATCTGCGACAGCTCCTAAGCATGCCAAACAGCACTGAACAAGTTATCACTGAACGTCAATCGTTTCGCGCTATGCTTCGCTACCACGAAATGCAATGTCCTTCTGCAAGATTTACAAGGACCCACTCCTGCACTGCTCCTTGGTGGGCATCAGCTGGTAGTTGTACAGGAACTCAAGTATCTAGGCAGCTATGTTAAAGCCTGTGGGATCGAAAATAAGATCAGCAACCGCAGAGCAAAAGATCCAGGTGTCTTTGCCGATCTCCGCCACCTGTAGCGCCCATGTAGCATCACTCGCCATGAAGGGCAGAGTTTACAATACAGCCGTCCGTTCAACCCTCGTATACAGCTGTGAAACCTGGCCCATCAAACCGATAGTTGTAAAGGGGCTAGTCACGTTCGATCATCGCTGCCTTCGCAGCGTAGCTCATGTCTGGTGGGAGCACCGCGTGAGCAATGAATGTGTGTACGGGCGTCAGCGTACTTGATGCAGGAAGAAGAGCGAGTGAACGGCTCAGCACAGTTATTTCACGCACCCGGACTCCGGTGAGGCTGGCCCCACATGTTCGCATGCCAAGCACACCGACTTCCGCAACGTGAATTGTTTGCGCGCCGGGTGTGCGGTTGGAAAAGGAGGAGGGAAGGCTAAGCGAATGACTTGGTTAAGAAAAATGAAAATCCTCACTTCAAAGTTGGCGTCGGTTGATGTGTCCCGATTGCCTGGCTACAATTCACAGGGCAACGAACACGCTTGGTTGAATACACTTGCTGATATGGTTAGGAGCCGGTCTCAATGGCCATTTTGTTGTGAGCTTTTTTGTTCATTCCTCGCCCCATTAGATTCCCCCTAAAATTTCGACCTCATACGAAATGCGTAATATGATAGTTAACTTTAGATTACATGTTTTGTGAACCTTTCGTAGTCTGTAATTTTTAGTATTTTCTATGGACTGCTGCACTTTAGCTGAGGTGTTTATCACTCTCAGCTAACGTGTATTGATGATGATTGGTTCGAAAGAAGACTTCGTTTGGCCCTTAGTAAGAAGGATAAAATCTTGAGAAGGAAAAGGATTCGCTGAAAATAAAAGACAAAGAGGGATCCTAAACGTAAACGACGTAAAACCTTGTGTATGTTAATCACAGGATGCTCCTTAAGGAGAAAGGATTTAAGTTCTAGGATTCCCGACATGTCTGTAAGTTAACGAAACAAGTGAATTTTGTTTAGTGGACGTTCTCGAAATACTAGACTCAAAACCCTGATTAGCGAAGCAACAGATAGATATTGTACTATATCAATGAGCAGGTTAATAGAAACCTCATATGCAGGTTGCGGCGTATTTCTAAGCATCAAACCAATGCGCGTCGATCTATAACTCGAGGCACTACCAAACAAATCACTAAATATACGCTATTTCTTTCGCCGACAGAAAGCACAAGAAAATAGTGAAAAATACTATCATTAGCTTAAGTGGCAGAAAACTTCAAAGTTGATTTTGTTGTACATAAAACCAAAGGGAGGCGAAATGAAGCTTGAGTTCCCAGTCCAGCATTTAGGTTATTGGATGAAGTAATTGTTATCGCCGCGCCCCTATATGCGACAAGGACTGTACAAATCGCACTAAGGCGTTGGTTTTCTAAAGCATATCGGGTTACAGTCGCCTAGTAATACTGTGACAAAAATAATAGCAGGTACTAATGAGCACAGTGGGGGTTTAAACAGTAAAGTAGCGATATTGTGCAGAAGTTCGTCCGTGTTTTCGTAATGCTGTGTACCATACATGAATAAGATGTGGCCAACCAAGCAAAGGAAAATAGCTCAACCTCAAAAACCGCCAGTGGAATAAATTGCATATATATGCTTAAGTCACGTGCACGATCGTCCAGAACAGTGCAAGCGAGGAATATGAGTTAAGGTAATGTCAGGCCTACCCACAAGGTAACAAACGCATGATAATACAGGCTTACATAGCTTTGATAACGATAGGCTAAGCGCGAATTCGCAGACTTGCTCACTTTTGAGCTGAGTAATACTGAAAAATGACATGAACGCAATCGGATCACTGTGAAGTGAACGCATCCTATAACATGTACTCTTTTGTTCGCCGAGATTCAATCACACAAGGACAGCCATAAGTATAAAGGCATGCTGTCGACAAACACTAATCCTACGTGAGGTCACAAGAGTGTTATTGTCGTGAGCAGTCACAGCACGAAGTACGGCACAGAGCCACTAGCGAGGGAAATTCTGTGAAGATGTAAAACATCGCGAGACATATGAGAGACGGTAGCTTTAAAAAAGTATAGCTTCATGCTCTATGTTCTGTGACTGCAATGATGGAGTGCTCTGAACAAACGATGGCAAGTGGTCACTGGAGTTAAGACAGCCGACAGCCGGTAAAAATGTAGCATAAAAATGTAACGAAACAATTTTGATGAAAAGAAATTTGAAATCGTAAGCTGATAGAACGTGTAGGACAGAATTCACATACGAGAAAAGACTAACTTGGAAAGATTTTATCGTCTCTTCAACTGAAACCAACTCTCCAGTAGTCAAGTGCTTTACTCCTGATGTTTCCGAAAGAGCTGACAAACAAGGCACTGTAGTAAAATAATCGGTATAATTACTCAAGTTGCGCAATAACTGTTGTATAAACTTCTGATCGAAAAGTTTATAATGTAGCCAGTAGTTGAACAACTTTTCCAATTTCGATATCAAATTACCGGGTCTGAGTTGGCAAAAGAAGTTCAAATCAATTACCTAAGTGATTTCACTGCCTCGGTTACATGTGGGCGAAACACATCCCTCAGCTCTGGGACGCCGTACTTTGAACATTTGAGTAGCACCTCATTTGCTACGTAGAGTAGGGCTAACTGGACTGGGGGACTTTCTGCTGCAATAAAAGAAAATAACAACATACTTGTTATTCAAATGCAACCCTTAAGATGACGACACATTACAGTGACGGTTAGACAACGGATTTGTCTAGCATAAAAAGTTCACTAGCAAAGCCTCATGGCGGAATCAGATGACCCAACTTCGTGAAAATACAGAAGAGGAGGAAGAAAGACCGTAATAATCAAGGGAGACAGGTTGGTTGCATCAATGCAGCTTTCAACTTGGTACAAAGTGGGTCACAGAAGTGGAAAAGAACAAAGTGTGTCCGAAGGTCTTGCGCGTCAATACGTAACAATGAAATGCAACATCGTTAATAAACAGTTTTAAGATGTATGCTACGAGTGAAAAAGGTGCAAGAAACATTCGGAAAGCTCAAAGGCAAAGCGATAGTTTGCCAAGAATTAAAGAGATGTAACACAATGCCGCATAGCATAAAAGAATGAACTCAAGAGTAACGATGCATTGGAAAATCACCGGCATCTAAAAATAAGTAAACAATGACACCACCATCAACTTTTAATAAGTCAGCTGGTTTGGGTTATGCGCGGTGGGCATGTAAAGGGGTTTCAGTCGTCAATTGTCATCAGCATCAACTTCAACACAGATTAGCTGAGGATGAGAAACACACCTCAGCTAATGTGCAGCAGTCCAAAGATAAGAAACAAAAAAATACACCATAAAGAATTCGAAAAGCAACATAATGCTAAATAGCATGTTATGTATTTCGTATGAGATCGCAGCTTTAGGGGGAATCTAATGGGAAGACGGATGGACCAAGTAACACAACACAAATGCTATTGGGGCCGGCTGTTCACCATATCAACAAGTGTATCCAACCAAACGTGTTCATTGCCCTATGAATTGTAGCCAGGCAATCGGGACACATCAACCGACGCCAACTTTGAAGTGAGGATTTTCATTTTTCTTAACCAAGTCATTCGCTTAGCCTTCCCTCCTCCTTTTCCAACCGCACACCCGGCGCGCAAACAATTCACGTTGCGGAAGTCGGTGTGCTTGGCATGCGAACATGTGGGCCAGCCACCGGAGTCGGGTGCGTGAAATAACTGTGCTGAGCCGTTCACTCGCTCTTCCTGCATCAATTACGCGACGCCGAACACATTCATTGCTCACCAGACATGAGCTACGCTGCGAAGGCAACGATGATCGAACGTGACTAGCCCATTTACAACTATCGGTTTGATGGGCCTGATTTCACAGCTGTATACGAGGGTTGAACGGACGGCTGTACTGTAAACTCCCGTCGCAACGAGACTGGACCTTAACTTGGCGCGACGGTTTGCGTACCTCAATGACCCATTGAGCTATACTGGGTGATGCCTCCGAGCATCTTGAGAGCTACTCCTACCAGGTTGGTCAATAGTGAGAGATCAGACAAACACAGTCTCCTGGTTCTACAGGTTGGGGGGTATGAAATGGGATGGCGTCCAATTCTGTAACACTAAATCACTGCCACCCCGCTGCCTTGCGGACAGGCTTTTGAGCCAAAGGCTTTGGATGAGGACCCTAATCGTTCTCCTGTCTAGGTCTGGGTGCCCTGGCAGTATCCCAGCCCACATACAACCATGAAAAAACGAAACGTGTCAGCTTATACGCCGTAACGACGCTTCGCTGCCGCGCGACCACCACTAGTCACGCGCGGGCTGAGTATACCGCGAGGACGCCCACTCCTACGCGGATTCGAACCGGTGGCCTTATGGTTGGAAAGCAAACGTGCCAACCACTCGGCCACCGGCCTGCCAACCACTCGGCCACCGGCCATACAACCATGACATTTTCTTCAAACACAAACTTCATCCTGCATCGGCCGTCGCGCAGATTATCAAGGGTCGCCTTATCTGCTGCATACAGCAGGGTGGATAAGCGAAAACATGCCACTGCTGGCGCCTCCCTTCTTTCTTTTCCACCTCTTTCTCTTACTCGCGTCCCAGTCCCTATTACTAACCTTCCTTCTATAATTCCCAGCTTAATTGACAGCAACCGAAGTGCTACTGGAGTAGTACCGTCTGCAGCCACCATCCCACAACACCTATCGGACGCCTATCGGTAAACGTCCCTTATAAGGCCACGCTATCCCGTTTCCATGGCGACATTCAACGTTCGCACTCTAAGACAAACAGGTCCACAGGCTGCACTCGCACGCACCTTGGACCTACTGGGTATTAATCTGTGTTGTGTGTCCGAAACTAGGATCAATGACCCTAACGGGGTTAATGAAGTAACTGCACCCGGCTTATCCTCTCGTTATTGGTTGCACGCATCCGGAGACGCCGATGCAGCACTCACGGGTCAAGCTGGTGTAGGTATCATTCTCAGCTCCAAAGCTGAGTCATCGTTGGTTGATTGGATTCCGGTGAACAGCCGTTTATGTGCAGCCCGTTTGATTACATCAGCCAAGATTGATTTACGAAGCAGTACAAAACGCTGTTTGTTTGTGATTTCTGCTTATGCTCCCACCGACTGCAGTTCTGATGCAGTCAAGGACACATTCTATCACGAACTGAACACGCTGCTACGCAGTACTACTAGTTCAGATATTATAGTACTTGCAGGGGATATGGACGCACAAGTAGGGCGTCTGAGCTCTTCAGAAGCTCAGCTGGATGGTAATTATGGGCTTAACGCCGAACGGACTGACAACGGTGAGCGTCTGCTGCAACTGTGTGCGGAACACCAGTTGTTTTTTAGCAGCACTGCTTTTAGACACAGTGGGCGCCGAAGTGCCACTTGGGGTCCTCCTGCAGCTGGCCAGCGATGGACCCAAATTGACTACATAGCCATAAGTTACAGATGGCGTGGTTCCATCCTGAATTGGCGCTCGTACTGGAGTACTTGTGTCTACTCTGATCATGCCTTGGTGCGCCGTCCTTTCTCCATGAACTTTAGCGGAAGGCGCACAAAGTGTCTCCCCCGATTGGCAACGGAGAAACTGTCCCAGCCCTCTGTCAGGCAAGCCTATCAAGAAGCACTGCATAGCGAACTCTCGCTGTCTTGTCCCAACGACACTGAACTTCAGTGGAATAGAATCTCGGCCGCCATGCACGACGCAGGAGCATCTGTTTGTGGCAATATCAGTCGTCATCGCACCAGTCACTGGATATCCGAGAGGTCCGTGAACCTGTTGGAAGCTAGAAGACACCTCCCTGCTGAATCTGAACACAATGTGACCAGACGGGCTATTAGGCGCGAACTAAAGCGGAGCCTACGTCCTGACAAGGAAGCCTGGTGGACCAGTAGGGCTCAAGAAATGGAGGAGGCAGGAGCAGTAGGCAATTACCGCAGGTTCTTCTAGCTTATCGGCACCACTGGTCCCCTAAAACCAGGCGTCAGTGAGACAATCAGAGACAGCGCGGGTGCGCTGATACACAATAAGGAGCGCCGTATGGCTCGTTAGGCGGAACACTTTCAAGATCAGTTCAGCTGGCCTCCTGCTCCCGGACCTCTTCCTACTCAAGTGATGCAGGACGTGCCATGGACGGTTAGCTTAGAGCCTCCGTCGGAGGCCGAGGTCCGAAACGTGATCACAGCTCTTAATCGTTTTCGTGCCGCTGGCCCGGATTCCCTCCCACCTGCACTATTTAAGGATGGAGGTGAGGTCCTCTGCAGGGCACTGACCTCCCTATTCGAACGTATCTGGAACGAAGTGTGCCAGCTAATTGGAGCGAATCGATTATAGTGGCAATATACAAGAAGGGCAGTCGCACAGACTGTCCTAACCACAGAGGTATTAGCCTAACGCCAGTTGTGACAAAATTACTGGCCTCGATTATCGTTCGTCGCCTCACTGCAGAACGGGAATCCCGGATTAGGGAAGAGCAGGCCGGTTTTCGCCCAGGACGTGGCTGTATAGACCATATATTTACTTTGCGGCAGGTGCTAGAGCAGCACCACGCATACCGCAGACCGACAATAGCTGTGTTCCTTGACTTCAAGGGTGCGTTCGTTCAGTCGATCGATCGATTCTGTTCGAATTACTTGCGCGAAAAGGTGTTCCCGCAAAATATGTGAACATCCTTCGTGCTCTATACTCGAACACTACAGGCCGCGTCAGGGTCTATGGTGTCCTATCGGATAGCTTTCCGACGACAAGTGGCGTTCGTCAGGGTTGTCCGATTTCCCCGTTTTTGTTCAATTTGTCATGGATTCTATCATGGAGTGTTCCCTTGCGGAATCTCATTATGTAGGCGTTGAATTACTGCCTGGTGAAAGGTTAGTTGACCTAGATGATGCGGACGATTTCATCTTGCTTTTCGACAATGTTGAGGCGGCACAGTCAACCCTAAATAGCGTATCCAGAGTGGTCCCATTATTTGGTATGCACTTCGCACCTTCAAAGTGCAAAGAGTTGCTGCAGGACCACCAGCCACTTGATGACCCCTTGACGCTTGATAACGAGGAACTCGAGGTGGTTGATCAATTCACTTATCTTGGCAGCTGCATCAGCAATGATGGGCGCATAGAAACTGACGTGAGCTCACGCATTGCAAAGGCCAGAGCTGCCTTCTTGAACCCAAGGCATCTTTGGCGACAGAAGGCAGTTTCCCTCCGTCTGAAAGGCCGCGTATACAAGGCCACAGTGAGGGCCGTTCCGCTCTATGGTAGTGAAACTTGGCCCCTTCGGTCTGAAAATCTGAGGCGTCTTCAACTCTTTGATCATCGTTGTTTGCGAAGCATTGCTGGTGTCGGATGGTACCAGCGTGTCCGCAACGATGACGTGTGTAGGCGAGTACTAGGTGGTGATAATCATGCTAGCTCCCTACAACAACAGATAGCACTGAATAAGTTGCGTTGGCTCGGGCACGTGCTACGCATGCCTGGTCACCGCTTACCTAGGAGAGCCTTGTTCAGTCTACCAGGTGTCGGATGGCGCAAGGCTCGAGGTGGACAGAAGTTGACTTGGCAGTGGGAAATGAAGTCACTGACGACCAAACTGGGTGCCGTTGGTCCGTCTCGTCTACCGGGCTGGAGTCCACGTGA